AAAGGATAGGAATACACTCTTCAGGAAAAACACTTGTACATCCCTGTTTATTATGGCATTATTCACAATTGCTAAGACATGTAACCAACCCAAATGTCCAAGAACAGATGAATAGATTGAAAAAATGTGCCATCTACACACTATGGAATTCTACTTGGCCATAAAAAAAAAAAAAAATGAGACCCTGGCATTTGATTGAAAGTGAATGAATATTAAAGATTTAATGCTAAGTGAAGCAAGCCAGACTATGAAAGAGAGGTGTTGTATGTCTCCACTCAGTATATACCAAATGTTTGCACTCTATGGCAGAAACGGAGAGATTAGAAGACATACAAGTATGGAGAACAATTGTGGATACTAGAGACAGTGTGGGAGGCAGGTAGGAAATTGGGGAGGGTGAGAGGAAGGGAATCAAGGGGGGGGAAGAAACAAACAAAACATTTAAGGGACATGAAAATAGAAAATTATCTGTTGATGATAATGTGTATGATAATATCTTTGACTGGACTAATATACTATGTATTCATGTTGGAAAAATTCATTTTGCATGCTGTAATAGTATATACTGATTGACTATAAAGTAAAACAGAAGAAAAAAATACTTTCTTCCTAAGCGAAGTCAAATCTGTTGGAAAAATTCATTTTGCATGCTGTAATAGTATATACTGATTGACTATAAAGTAAAACAGAAGAAAAAAATACTTTCTTCCTAAGCGAAGTCAAATCTTTTTTTTTTTTCTTTTTTTTGAAGAGAGATTTTTGCTATAGGCATGTGCGTTCGCCAGAGAGACAGAAAGCAAGACATCATCCTCCAGGAGGATGGCCATGCTGCAACCCTTTCTCCTCCATTTCCTCTTAGGATATTGGGCATGCACACATGCACACGCACACACACACACACCTGGTTTGAGTTTAAAGCAGCCAATTTCTGGACTTGAACCATGTAGTCAGTCATGTAGGAGTCCTGAGATGTAACCATTACACCATCTGCTGGCCCACAAATCATATTCTTAAAATAAGTCAGTGGAGGGACCAGCAGGAGGCATGGTGGGTGGGATGCTGGACTCTCGCATGGCCAACTGCAGTTTGAGTCCTGGACCTGGTGGCTTGCTTTCTCACTTTCTCATTCATAAAAAGTAATAATAATAATATTAAATAATTATTTTTAAACAGTCAATGAATAAAAAGTTGAAGATGATCTTGCCATCACTCTTTTATACTTACTTAAATTTTTTTTGGTTTGTTTTTGTTTTTAAGGTTTTTGCTATAGGGCATATGCACTTGCCAGAGAGAAACAGAAACAGGGAAAGTGAGAAATTCCCCCAAGGAGGCTGGGCACACCACAATTCCTTTTCCTCCATTCTCCTGTCGGGATTTTAGGCACCCATGCACATGTACCAGCATGATTTTCAACCCACTGGTCTGGGATTTGAACCATAGTCGACCATGTGGGAATCCAGTACCTCAACCTCCATACCACCTCCTGGGCCCTTCTTAATTTTTGAAGTGAAAATACATAATGTTGTTAAGGTTATAGTAAAACTGGTAAACTGGGGGCCAAACAAGGTGCAGTATTAAAAACATAATGCTCTGCAAGGCAGACCCACATGGAAAGGTTCCATATCACATCCAGAGACCTCCTTGAGTATACAGGCATGAGTGCATGTCCCTGATTTGAGACTGGCTGATTTGGAGCTGGTTGATCTGGGGGAGGATCACAATGTCGATATTGCACAGGGGTGCTGTCTCTGTCACTCTTGCTCATGGAAGATTGCACTTAAAAATGAACAAAGGATTTGAATAGACTTTTCTCCAAAGCATATAAGCAAATGGGCAATAAGCACATGAAAAAATGCTCAATATTATTCACTAGGGAAATGCAATCAAAAACACAATAAGATATTGTTTCATACCCCTTAGAATGGCTATTTTTTTTTAATGATTTAAAAGGAAAAAACTCAAAATTGCTCATAACACTGCAAATTATCACCACTTCGAAACCAGCAGATGGCATAGCAGTTACATCACTGAACTCCCACATAGTTGACTGCAGTATGAGTCCTAGAACTGGCGACTTAAAACTCATGCTGGGCACATGTGCCTGCATGCCCAAAATCCCAAGAAGAGAATGAGAAGAGATTGTAGTGTTGCTATCCCCCCTGGGAGTCATTTCTCGTTTTCTGTCTTTCTGTCTCTCTGGAGAGCCCATACACTCTTTGGCAAAAATTTCTCTTAAAAAAAATTATAGGTTCTGCCAGGTGGTGTGGTGTATAAAGGCACTGGGTTCTCACGAGGCCAACCATGGTTCGAGTCCCAGACCTGGTGGCTTGCTTTCTCACTTCCCCTTTCTCTCTGTCTCAGTATGGTCAAATTATAAATAATAACAAATGAAATTAAATAAACAATTCTTTAAAAGAAAAAATTATCACAATTTTTGTTAAATACTAATTTGGCAATAAGAATCAAAACCTAAAAGAAACTGGCATAACCTTTTTCCCAATAACTACTAGACATTTAATGTCAGGGAACTAAGTCAAATGAAAAATCAAATATATAAAATATTCACTGCAACATTATTTTTAATTGCCAAAAAAAAATTTAATAACAGAAACAGGTCCCAAAATAGATGAAGAATGATTAAGTAAATGAAGACAGAATAACCCTATGAATCCTATGGAGTCAGTAGATATCATAAGTATAAGTTTACATAGCAATATGAAAAATGTTTTTGACATATTATAATATATATCAAATATCTCTAGAGCACCAATACTACTAGATGAAATAAGCCTACCCACGATAAAGACTAAGAGGAAATGAGGGAAAACAGGGGCCAGCAGGTGGCATGGTGGTTAAGGTGCTAGACTCTGACATAGCTGACAATGGTTCAAGTCCTAGACCTGACACTTGAAAATCATTCTGGGCGCATGTGCATGTATGCCTAAAATCCCAGGAGGAAAATGGAGAAGGGATTGCAGTGTGGCCAACCTCCCAGGGATTGATATCTCTTGTGGTGTGGCCATCCCCCCTGGGGTGATTTCTCGCTTTCCCTCTCACTGTTTCTGTCTCTCTCCAGCAAGTGCATGAGCCCTATGGCAAAAACCTGAAAAAAAATAATAGTAATCAAAATAAATTTCAGAAGAAAATTTTTAATGAGGGGAAAATAGTTAATAAAGAGGAGACATCAAATGATTTGAATTAAAGTATGAATTTGTTTTGACACCAAAAATTTGACATCTGTGTATAGTTTTTCATAATACACACTTCCCATGAACTTTTTGAAGACCTCCCCCTCATATGTTAGGAATTGCAGAAGTGGGAAGGACATTTCTTCTTTTAAAACTTTTCTTCACAGGGCCAGCAGGTGGTATAGTGATTAAGGCATTGGATTCCCACATGGCTGACCATGGTTTGAGTCTCAGACAGGCAGCTTGGAGATCACACAGGGCACGTGTGCATGCATGCCCACACTCTGAAGAGGAAACGGGAGAAGAGAGAACTACAGCATGAACATACCCCCTTGGAGGTGCTTTCTCACTTTCCTTCTCTCTGTTTTTCTTTGTCTCTATCCAGCAAGCACATGCTCCCTATAGTAAAAATCTAAAAACAACAACAAATAAAAAGCCTTTTCTTCATGATTTTGTTGCTTGTCTATTATACATATTAAAGGTTTGGTAGGACAACTGGTAAAGGCAGAAACAATGTAATGGAAGGATGGAGTCCTGTATATACATTTTCAACTAGTAAAACTTTTTATATCACCATGCCTTCATACATCAGGGCTTCACGGGGTTCTACCCTTCTGCCTAGAAACATGGTTCATCAGTCCATTCCTTACGGAACACTTCTTAGGACTTCTTGGAATTACTACAGTGGCCGCCAGACAGCCCTCTTTACTCCCAATGAGTCATTGTCACCTCAAATATCCACGGCCTTCCCCAGCTACCCAGGCCTGTCCTGCCCTTCACAGATCAAAACATTCAAATGTAAATAAAAGGCAGAAGCACACTACGCTGCCTGCTTCTTAAAGCTGAGATTTCCCAGTCCACATCAAGCTATAATTACCTGGAGGCAATGCCAAAAACAACAAAGGCGCGTCAAGGAAACTGCTAAAATACTCTCTGGGTTTTTAGCTACTTACCCATTCCTTCCTACTTACCCAGCCCCACCCCATTCTCTCTACACTACTGTGAAACTCTTCCGAAACCACCAGATTGCAGAAAGACACTAATAGCAGCAGAGGGTGCAGGAAGGAGGTGTGCAGAGCCTGAGACCACATAGTAAGCCAATATAGAGGCCTCTTGAGAAACAAGAGCTGTTTTTAGAATCAGAAGGAAATTAGATAATCCCAGCCAGATTTACTTAATGGTTTTAAGATTAGAAACTGTGTGTCTGTGCATGCATTTATATGCAAGCAGTGACATATTTTGAGAGGACAGTGTAAAAGAAATAAAAACAGCTACTAGCTCTCTAAGGTCATTTAAAAGAATTTTAATTAATTATTTAGCTTATTATTATTATTCCTTAAAAAAAAAAAAAAAAACTTGCTATAGGGCACAAGTGGTCACGAGAGAGAAAGACAGAGGGAAAATGAGAAAGCAAGCCACCAAGTCCAGGATTCAAACCACAATTTGGCCATGTGGGAGTCCAGTACCTCAACAACCACACCACCTACTGGACCCTAGAAGAATTTCTGTAGTACAGGCTAGGTGAGGCACAATTGCAAATGCTAGTTCCATACAGTTTAAGGTGAGTCCTATAATTCTCTCCTAGCTTCAGAAAACTTCCCTCTTCAAAGACCATGGCTAAGAATTGCCATATCATACTGGGTAACTACCTGGCTACTTAGGAAGGATTCTCCACAGAACCACCCCTACCCCTCTCCCTACCCCATCCTCCCCTGCCAGTTTGCAATGTCTTTTAGAACCACCATAGCACACAGGGCAGCAGAGATTTAGTCATGGGTGCTGTGCTTTGGTCTCTCATTGTAAGCAACTTACTTTCATAAGAGGCAATGTTCTTCCGATACAAGGGTTATTCCAGGAATTTCCTGTAGCGGGGGGAAAAAAAACATACAACTGTTCAACATATCAACTAGTGCAGGCTCGAGCCTTCAGAAATGTTTTCTGCACAGACAGAAGCTGAGGGCAGTTTCCAGTATGCTAATCTCTACTTTAAAATAAACCCTGGAGAATATAAATACCAGTTAACACAGCCTATCTCGTACCTCAGGAAGGGAAAGTATCTCTAAAGTCAAGATTATAAGAGTTGACAGAGTAAAGGAAAAGTAGAGGAAAAGACTATTAAGAATACAGAGAAAAGGGAACAGCAGTTGGCATAATGGCCATGTTGCGGGACTCCCATGTAGTCAACCACAGTTCGAATTCCGGACCCAGTGGCTTAAACTCATGCCTGGCGTATGCGTGTGCATGCCCAAGATCCTAAGAGGAGAATGGAGGAGAATGGATTGCGGCACGGCCATCCCCCCTGGGGGAGCGGTGATTTCTCGCTTTCTGTCTTTCTTTATGGCAGGCGCATGCACCCTATACCAAAAAAAAAAAAAGAAGAAAAAGAATAGAGAAGTTTTTGTTTATTTTTACAGATTTCTATTTAAGAACAAATGAGGCAAATTATATGTATTTGCACCATTGAGTGTAATAATAAAGGAGAGATGCCCTATTACTTGTACACCTCCCTCCTCCTCTTTCACTTAAATGTATTACAGTTGGTCCCTGCTTCTTTAGAAGGAACCAAGATTAATGATTCTTGCATAACTTGAGTAGAAAAGTTTTCTGCACCTCCTTATCCACCATAATTTCAAAGAGCTCCCCATAAAGACTTTCTGTAGCACCATGACTGTGACATATCAGAAAGGTTAGCCATTTACATTGGGAATCCAGTGATAACATTCTGATAACTAGCGAGCATTAAAACAAATTTAAAGAAAGAAAAACTTCCAGGGTCGGTGGATGGCATGGTGGTTGAGGCACTGGACTTCCACATGGCTGAGTGCAGTTCAAGTCCCAGACTTGGCAGCTTGAAAAATCATGCCATTCACGTGTGCATGTGTGCCCAGAATCCCAAGGGGAGAATGGAACAGAGAGGATGGCAACATGGTCATCATCCCCAGGGGGTGATTTTTTACTCTCCTCTCTCTTCAGTGAGTGCACACACCCTATAGCAAGACTCCCCTAAAAAAGAAAGAGAAAAAAAAGAGAAACCTCCAAAATTGCCCTTTATTCACTGTTGTTTTGAAACTATGCCTCTGTTAAAGATACAGCTAGCCTCTCATTTGGTCAATTCAAAGTTCATTTCCTAAAGAGGGGCCCGCAGGTGGTATGGTGGTTAAGTCATTGGACTCCCAACATGGCTGACTGCAGTTCCAGTCCCAGACCTGGTGGCTTGAGAATTACGCTAGGCACATGTGTACGTGTGCCCCAAATCCCAAGAGACTAATGAAGGAGAATGGATTTCAGTATGGTCATCCCACACTCCTGCGTGTATGTGTGATTTTTCACTTTCCCTCCTTCTGTCTCTGTCTCTCTGGTGAGTGCATGTGTCCTGTGGTAAAAACCTAAAATAAATTTAAAAATTTAAAAAGCATACATAAATGACACAAGAAAAAATGATTTAGTAGGTATTATACAGAAATAAAATCAACATTTGCTTAGGATTTAAGTGACCTAAATTTACTTAAGTGACCTAAATTTACTTATTTATAATATACCTTTGGAAAAGGGCATTACAGTGATAGAGAAATAAATTTTCATAACATTCAAGCAATTGAGTTCTCCATTGTGACAGTAAAAAGCCTGTAATAAAAGCCTATTGTGTATTTTACTTACCACTACTCAATAGCAGTGGATACATCAAAAAATAGGTTTCAAATTTTACTACAGGGCTGACCCCAGACTCCACAAGGGAGCTAGACTCCACAAGGCCCATCACATGGCTTAAATTCTGGCCCTAGTAGCTTAAAAACCATGCTGGGTGATATGCATGCCTGACCAAAATACTGATGGGGTGGAGAAATGGAGATGGGATTATTGTGTGGCCATGTACTGCTGGAGGTGTTTTCTCCTTCCCCTTCGTTCTCTCTAGTGAGTGCATGTGCACTTTAACAAATTAAAAAAAAAAAATCACTACAGTTTCAGGGCAATGCTAAGCTATGAATAGCATTTTAAAATAGGTATAACAATAACGTTTTTAAATAGGTGTAATTGTTGGTAAGGCATAATTCAGGATTACCTATGGGGCACATTTTCTAGCATTTTTCAAAATCCAAGTCAGTTAGATTTTTATGGAAGTGTGAAATCAATGTTTTCTACTGTGGCAAGTTTTTAAATTAGTAGCATTAAAAATCTGCAGATTAGAAAAAGGAAAGTAGGGGGCTAGCTAGTGACATAGCTATAATGCAAAGCTCTGTGATGCTGACCCAATGGGAAGATATCAGGTTCCTGTCCAGAGACTGTACTGGGCACACAGCAACACATGTGCCCATGGTCTAGGGTTAGCTGGAGATGGTGATGGATCACAGTGTAGGGACCCTATTGGGGACCTCTTGCTCACTTGCTCACAGAGGAAAAATGGATAAACTTTTTTTAAAAAATGAAAGAAAAAAAGGAAAAGTAAGCAATTTACATCATTGCTAAAAAACAGACATGGGGCTGATTCCATGACCTGGTGGTTGAGGCAACCAGATCCCAAATAGCCAACTGTGCAGTTCAAGTTCTGGACCAGCGATGTGAGAGACACACCAGGCACAGATGCGTGCATACTCAAAATTCCAAAAAGAGGGCAAGATGAAGGAGAAAGTACTGCAGTATAACCATTCTCCATTGTGGGGAGGGGTTTCTTCTCTATCTCTCTGTATCAAGAGTACACATACATGCTAGCATAAAAAAAAGACCGGCATACACTCGTAGAATTTCAAGATTAAAAGAGACATTTAAGGTACTCTATTCCAACCACACGACTTTTAAAGTGACGTGGTAAACCCCAAAAATAAGCTCAGTAGATGGAGGTTTTAACTGTGGGTTTCTTCATAGTGGGACTTCCTGATGTTTCTCTAGATGTCTACAGTGGCTCCTCTATTCCACAGTGTCTTACAAAACAAAAAGGTGAAGTGTTATGTGATGACACCTGACACATATCATCTACCCCAGCCCTGGAAACTAGTGGTCAGCTCTGTCTGCTGAACACTTGAGACACAGGACACAAAGCGGTAGGTGGTGAGGATAGGGAACTGAGAAGTGCATTTCCTGCCTCTGGGTGGTGTGACCTGGTGACTTCCTGCCACGTTACCAGAGTCTGCATGTACATTCACAAGTGGTCTGGCAGAATGGCGTGGGAGCCTAGGTCTTTCCCTTATTCTATAATGAGGCATGAGAATCTAGTAACTATAATAACAGATAAGGAGAAAGAGCCTGCAGGAAAGCACAGTCACTGTGCATACAAATCAATTATAAATTAATCAAACATACCTGATACATCTTTTTTAATTACTGTATTTAGATGTAGTCTAAATACAAAATAGGAGGTGCCACAATTTATTCCAGTACATATTTTACATCTGTTACTTAACCTTATTTTTCTAAATACCGTCTTGGCTACCCACCCCTGCCTTGAGCATGCCTAAGCGAATAGTTCCAACATCTAAATATGAAAGAAGAGGCAGCATACTTTCCAGGTGCAGCCTATGTGTGGTTTTCACTTACTGGTACATCAAAGTTCCATTTATTGAACCATGCTCAAGAGAAAACACTGTTTTAACTCAGTACTTCCTAATTTAAAAGGAGGGAGTCCAGACTGACAGGAAAAAAGGTCGAATGAGTTTAAGATTGCTGACTTTCAGTGATCTTGAAAATCTAGTTAAAACAGTGACTAGGAAAAGGGTTATGGGGGTCCTAATCTACCAGCCATAGCAGCGGTGGGCCACCAGTTCCTCATTTACAAAAACCTAAGAAGTATTTAAGAAATGTGAACAGTATGAAAAACTTGAAAATACTCATAAATGACAAAAGTATGTGGCAAAACATAAACTACCCATGGTGCTTCACAATGTGCCCTTCTGTTTAGCCAGCATTTATTGTAGTAACCATCCTTCAACACGACTCATTCAGTTTATAAATATTCTGGTATGCATTCTTTATAGTGAAATGTTACTATATCACATCTTATTTATTTTAGCAAAGCAGCATATTTTTCTGTATTTAATTACAAAAGTCAACTTAATTTATAAAATGAGATTGTAAACACACTTTTTCCATTTGTCACTATGGTTTGTTGCCTACCTAGCTGAATACATGTGTTTATCCTAAGGTTGTCCACATATTTAATCTACTTAAACGTTCACCTTAAGTAGTATTCACTGTTTATAGAAATTTGTATTTTGGGGTGCTCCATCTATGCACAAACAAAAATTAGGAATTACTTTATTATAAAATGTTCTTAGAAATCTTAATGGTGGTTTTTCTTTTTCCTTTTCTTTTTTTTAAATTAGGTTTTTGCCATAGGGCATGTGCACTTGTCAGGGGAAGAGAGAGAGAGAGAAAAAAAATGAGAATGGGAATAATTCCCGTTGTGTGTGGGGGGGGATGGCCATACCACAATACTGTCTCCTCTTGGGATTTTGGGCATGTACATGCATGCAACCAGGATGATTTTCAAGCCATAGGTCTAGGACTCAAACCATGGTCAGTCATGTGGGAGTCCAGTGCCTTAACACCACACCACTGGTTGGCTCCAATTGTGGTTTTTTTTAAAACCTGTAATGCTGGACTTCTGTGCATGGAAGTAACTAAGGTACATAATTATTGTAGTTTAAAAGTTGTACATGCTAAGACATATTTTGTTTTATGGTATGTTTTTGCTGAATGATCTCTTCCCCATCTCAAGGTAAGCATGAATGAAATTAGGTTAAATGTAGCATGTAACACCACAGTCTTAGAACTTCTTTCATCTTTTATTAAATACTGACTGTGTTTTTGGTTATCCTGTTTGAAGAAAAAGGACTAGTGAAACAGCCCTAGGAAATATTTTAATCTATTCTAGTTACTTTAAGAAAAAAAAAAAATCATCAGGCCAGCAGATGGCGTGAGGTTAAGGTAGCTGTATCCTACATATCCAATTGCAGTTTTGAGTACCAGGCACAGTGGCTAAGTTGTACATGCTAAGACATATTTTGTTTTATGGTATGTTTTTGCTGAATGATCTCTTCCCCATCTCAAGGTAAGCATGAATGAAATTAGGTTAAATGTAGCATGTAACACCACAGTCTTAGAACTTCTTTCATCTTTTATTAAATACTGACTGTGTTTTTGGTTATCCTGTTTGAAGAAAAAGGACTAGTGAAACAGCCCTAGGAAATATTTTAATCTACTCTAGTTACTTTAAAAAAAAAAAATCATCAGGCCAGCAGATGGCGTGAGGTTAAGGTAGCTGTATCCTACATATCCAATTGCAGTTTTGAGTACCAGGCACAGTGGCTTGAAAAACACGCCAGGCATGTGTGCATACATGCCCAAAAATCCAGAAAGGAGAATGGAGGAGAAGGGATTGTGACATAGCCATTCTCTCTGGAGAGTCCTTTCTCATTTTCTCTCTCTTTCTCTTTTCTGTCTCTTTCTCTGGCTAGTGCACATGACCCCTAGCAAAAAAAAAAAAAAAAAAAAAAAAAAGAGGAACAGAAAGACTATATTATAAAAATAGAATGATAGATTTTACTTCTGTCTAGTACTAGGAAGACTGACAAATACCCTGTACTTTCTCTTTCAATTCTACTGTTTTATATAAATACTTTAGGACAATGACAAGGATCACTATTATTTTTCTGCCAGAAATGTACAATTCAGTACCTTATTAGTCAAAACAGAAATAAAATCGCATTAGTTACTATACCAGCGTTGTCCTACTTCCGACCCACAATAGTGAATTGATTTTAATTGAATCAGAATACAATGTGTTAACTTACTGTATTCCAAGTGAGCATTGAGGAATATGGCAAAAGTTTATCCACATTACTTTTCTCTGGATATATGCTCCAATAAGATGAAGCTGAGTAGATTTTTGAAAGAGGAAAAAAGAAGATCTAGCTTAGTAAGTATAAGGCAGTAGACACTGTAATTCAAACAAAGCAAGCAAACCAACAAAGGTTTTCCTTCTCTTATCCTTCATCTTCAAAAGGTTAACCATTATGATTTTATCTACTAAAATGTTCAAGTTCTGCTTTTTACAATAAGAATATTTTTTTTCTTTTAGGTCCTATATCTACTCTAATGACATCATGTCACTTCACTTCACATGGAACAAGCCAACACAGAGCCAGGCTAAGAAGGTTATCTTTTACCAAAAAACAGTCACTAATAAGGTTATATACTCAAGATCCTATCTATATTTCATCAGTCTCTGAACAGCCACAGCTTCTCACAAAGCCACAAGAGAATGAAATTTAATTAGCTGCTGACTGTTAGAGTTGGAAGAGTACAAAAGTGCTCCTAAGCAGTATATTTTGACAGATTGAAGCATTTGTTATCAATTTACTGCTTTCCTGCATAGAAGGGTCACATACTCAACGTAATGCAACATCAGCAACACTCACCAATTATAAATTCCTGAATAAGGTCAAATGAATGGCAGGCAGAGACATTCTCAGAAATCCATTGAATAATCTTTAAAAAGTAACACAACAGAACTCTGTTGGTATTTAAATCTGCACTCTGGCCCCCGGCACCAAAGAAGTACAAATATATATGAATCTCTTAAATTCTATATATATTTTAGAGTTGCTTAAGAACATACTCACTTCTACATTACCTTCAAGATACATAATGCAATTCTGGGTAAGTAAAATAGTATCATAAATAATTTCCTTTTTATGTATCTTTTTTTTTTTTTTTTTGGAGAGGTTTTCGCTATAGGGCGCGTGCATTCACCAGACAGACAGAGAGAGAGACAGAGAGACAGAAAGCGAGAAATCACCCTCCAGGGGGGATGGTCACGCTGCAATCCCTTCTCCTCCATTCTCCTCTCGGGATCTTGGGCACACACACACACGCACCCGGCGTGAGTTTTAAGCCACTGGGTCGAGGACACAAACTGCGGTTGACTACGTGGGAGTCCAGCGACATAGCCATTACTCTAACTGCTGGTTCCCATTTACGTATCTTTTTAATAAGTGTCCTTGGATGGCATCCAAATAAACCTCCTTCAACCCATTATTTGTTTTTGCTGGAATAATGTCATAGCAAAGCTCTAGTGAGTAGAGCTGTAGGATACAGGAATACAAACCAAAACAAGGCTGGCCCTGTGGTTTAGTGGCTAAGGGAGCCAGATTCTACATGGCTGACCCAGAGTTCAAATCTCGACCCTGGTAGCTTGAAAAATATGGCCAAGATTTTTCTGTGTGTATGCCCCAAATCCAATAAAGATGGAGAAATGGAGAAGGGATTGTGACATGACCATGTCCCACTGGTGCTTTTTTCATTTCTCTGTGCCTCTCTCACCTGCTAGTGCAGATGCTCTGAAGCAAGCAAGCAGCAAAAAAAAAAAAAAAAAAATCTACTAGGTTGTAGCAGCATACTTGGGTTTGAATCCCAACTCAGTACTCAGCATGAACATTGTCTTATCACTTATGTTTTGTGAGCATCACTGTACTGACCTCCCAGGGAAAAGATAATCCCTGTTATGGCAACAACTGTCTCACTTAACCCTATAACCATCCTCACCTGCTGAAGCAATGAAGCACCTGGGCTGCTGCCTCAGAAGTGATGGACGTTCTAAGGCACACCTAGCCATAGCGCACTCACATGTTTCTGTACCTACCATTACGCTGGATTATTCCATATCTTTTTGTGCTGGTTGTATACTTATTTCCACAATTGGGTAACTTAATAAAATATTACTTAGGTAAGTAAAATGTGGATGCAAAAAGTGCTTTTGAGGACAAGCTCTATGTTTTGGGAAAACTCCTAGGCATGTCTCTATAAAACAAGGTATAGGTGAGGCAATCATAATCCTTGGGTTTAAAAATAATAAAAAAGCCTGATACAAAGATTGCTTTGGAAAGATCTTTAAGGATCTTCTTAGAAATAGAAGTTTTGGGGACCAGCAGATGGCATAATGGTGATGTCACTGGATGCCCACATAGTCAACCACAGTTCAAGTCCCAGACCCAGAGGTTTAAAACTCATGCCAGGGGACCAGCAGTTAGTGTAATGGCTATGTCGCTGAACTCCCATGTAGTTGACCATGGTTTGAGTCCCAGACCCGGTGACTTAAACTCACACCAGGTGCGTGTGCGTGCATGCCCAAGATCCCGAGAGGAGAATGGAGGAGAAGGGATTGTGGCATAGCCATCCTCCCTGGGGGGTGATTTCTCACTTTCTGTCTTTCTGTCTTTCTGGCAAGCTCACGCACCCTATAGCAAAAACCTCTCAATAAAAAAAAAATTCATGCCAGGAGCACGTGCATGGGTGTGTGACAAAATCCTAAGAGGAGAAAAGAGGAGAAGGAATTGCAACGTGGCCATCCTCCGTGGGAGGTGATTTTTCGCCTTCTGTCTCTCTGTCTCTCGGTGAGTGCACATGCCCTATAGCAAAAAATCTCTAAAAGAAAGAAAAAAAAAGGAGAAATAGAAGCTTTAAGTAACAGGAAGTCAGAAACAACACATTACTAGTGGTTTTATGTACAAAAATAATTTTAACTCAAATAAGCTATGCACAAAGGACCTTATCTACATCAAAAGAAAGATGAATAAATGTATTCACTTACATATTTTAGATAAAAATAAAGTGGCTAAGGTGTATATTTTTTTAAACTGGTCACCCATTGATCTTAGTCAATGAGATATGGAGGTTTCTTCGATTTCACAGAATATAAAAATTAAATGACAGAGAATGTGAAAAAAAACTTCATAAACTAAAATGTGCAATACAAATGTAAGCTATCTTTACTAAAAATTTAGCAAGTATCTACCACCAAGTTTTAGTTCTTTTACTAGCATACACCAAAAGAAAACATAGACCAGAAAAAAAAAAGGCAATTATTTGAGAAATTGTTTTCTGAGCATTTCTTTGGAACATTACTGATCAAGTTCAACATGTGTTTGCAATATGGAAAAGAGAGTTCTCAAAAGAACAGATACACTCCACAGCCTTGAGGACTGGTAGGGATCCATTAAAAAGAAGCACAAAAGAAGAATCTAGTCACCTGTCTCAATACACAGGAGACTGGTTCTTGGTCTTCCACTCCACTCAACCACAGATGTTCGAGTATATATAAAATAATGTATACTTGCTTTTAACCTATGCATATCCTCCCATATACTTGAAATCATGCCTAGATTATTTTATATGCCTAATGTGATGTAAATGCAGTATAAATAGTTGTTATGCTGTACTGTTTCAAGAACAATTACCAGAAAAAGGTCTGTACATGTTCAGTTCAGAATCAACCAATATTTTTTCCCAGATATTTTTGATCTGCAGTTGGTTATAGAGCCTGTGGATATTTTCAAGTCAAGACAAACACCACAAACCTCAATTAATTGTGACAGGAAGAAATAAAAAAAAAAAAACCCTCTGATTATTTTTGACCACCAAATAAACACATTTAATGTTGTCTATTTGCCAGTTTGTACACATCAGGTATAACGTTCCCACCTGGTCTTCCAAGGATCGTACTTCGCGGCCACACGAGAGTATACAGTGCAGCACAGCCATCTTCTCATAGTCTAGGCAGGTGTTCCACAAGAACTGCAATAAATACGACTGGTTGAGAAGTGCTCTATAGAGCTTTCCGGAACACCAATCCAGTACCAGAGACCCTGACAGTGACTGTAAAGGGCTATGAGGTAGCATATTGATCATTTCATTATCTCCTGGCATGGGAAAAAAAAAAAAAAAGGTAGATCAGCCAATAAAATAATTCTCCCTCACCCAAATATAAATAATGAAGTAAAAACAAACTCAAATGGGCCACATCAATGAGAGAAACACTATAGCCATACCTGTCAGAAACAGACTGTGACAGATCAAATCTGGATGCTGAATGTTAAGTAGATGAAAGAAATGACCAGGTAAGTAAACAGCCACATAGTAGTCTATAAAAAAAAAAAAAAGATTTAAGTCATCCACATGTGGTAAGAACGGTACAGATGCACATAAAGCCCAGAACTTCACATTACCCCCATTTTTGTTTGAATCTCTCAAAACATGAAAGTTTTGTTTTTTAAACCAGTGTATAATAACAAACCATCTGATATCAGTACATTTCAGTATACTAGCCAGATCTCAATTATTCGTATCTGTAGCTAATTTTCTTCAGACATTTTACCATGGTTATCTTCATTTATACCTGTAGCTTTATGTCTAAGTGAATTGCAGCTTTATGTGAATCTAAATGATCTCTGGGGACAAATTAGAAGAGCTAATTAGAATAAAACATACCAAGCAACATGAGTTATTTCTCAATCTGAGAGTCTGGAAATAGCTTACAGTGGAAATTTTCTTCATAATTTATGTCGGTTTATGAGAGCTCTAAAATTTAGTTCCCTATGTTTATCCACTCATGGTCATTATGATCATAATCGCCATTTTATTTACAGAACCTTTAAATTGATGTTCATCAGAAACACACTCTGCAGGAATTCTGACACTTTGCAAAAGTACCAATTAATTCCCTTGCATAGCTAGCTGCCTAGGATTCACACCTTCAGTCCCTGCTGTAGAAATTTTTATACCAAGAACATTTGTACCCTGATTGAGATAAAGTATAAAAACAGGTTTCTGGGGACTAGCAGTTGGCATAATGGCTATGTCGCTGGACTCCCACGTAGTCAACCACAGTTCAAGTCCCAGACCCACTGGCTTAAACTTACCCCGGGTGCATGTGCTTGTGTGCCCAAGATCCCAAGAGGAGAATGGAGGAGAAGGGATTACACCATGACCATCCCCTCTGGAGGGTGATTTCTTGCTTTCTGTCTGTTTCTCTGTCTCTCTCTGTCTTTCTGGTAAGTGCACACGTCCTATAGTAAAAACCTTTCCCCAAAAAATAAAGAAACACGTGCTAATAATTTGCATAGAACATATTCTATGAAAAATATAAAGAAAATAGATTTTTTTTAAATTTTAAGAATTATTTCATTTAACTTTATTCATTTATTTATTCTTATTTGACCAGAGAAAGAGCCAGAGAGAGAGAGGATGTGAGAGGCAAGCACCAGGTCCAGGACTCAAACCACAGTCAGCTGTGTGGATCTAGCACCCTTAACCACCACACCACCTGTCGGCCCCGATAGATAAAGATTTTTAACCAGTTAACTTATAAGTGTCCTTTCAGTCAAGAGGTATTAAAATGACAGTAAATTGCTTTGAAAAAACACAGTTGCAATGATTGTACTATTATGGAAACACTTTAGAAAAACAGGAATAAGAAGATCTAGTGCGACATTAATGGAAAGCATTTGAGCATCAAATTATCTAGATCTATCACTTAACCAGGTAGTTGGGATGTTGTTATGTCCCTGAAGGAGGTAACATCTAGAAATATATGAGGAGTTAAATGTGATTCAATGTAATATAAACAAGATCATGATGATAATAAATAAATTTTTTTAAATAAAATATACATACATATATATATATATATATCTGAGGAGATTTTAGGATGTCACCATCATTGAGCTAGGGATGGGGGGATTTCTATTAGCATTTGGTGGAGGTCCTAGGGTTTTTAGTCCTTCCATGTGTAGAGCAGTCTCATATAGAGAACTATATTGTCTCACTAAAAATGTCAATATTACCTGTGGTAAAATGAATGACAGCCCCTGAAGATATCCATGTGCTCATCCCCAAGGCCTGTGAATCTGTTCAAGAGGACCTTGCCAATGGGATTAGGATTTTGAGATGGGAAGAGTATTCTGAATTATCCAGGAGACCCAAGTAAACCCAAAAGTCCTTATAAGAGGGAGGAGGAAGGATGTTTGAATATGGTGGAGAAGACCACCATTATACAACGATGGAAGCAGTCAGAGTAACGTGGCTGCGAGCCAAGAAATACTATCCTCTGGAGGAAGTAGCAAATGAATGCTTTCCTGGAGCCTCTTGAGGAGGAGGCCAACCCTGTCCCCACCTTGTTCTTAGCACCTCCGCTCACTGCAGAATTCTGACCTCCATAACTGTTAAAGAATGTTGGTGTTTTATGAAGCCCTGAGTTTCTATCACTAGAAACTAGCAGCAATAAGAAACTAATATAGGCTATGCTAATTAACCTAATTTAATCATTCCACAATGTGTATATGTATTAAACACTGTAGCCTATAGATATATAAAATTATTTTTCAATAAATAGGCCAATCAGATGGCATGGAGGTTAAGGCACTGGATCCCACATAGCCGACTCTGCAGTTTGAATCCCAGACCTGGCAGCTTGAAAAATCACACATGTATCTGTGTGTACATGCTCGAAACCCCAAGAAGAGAATGGAGGAGGGGGACTGTGGCATGGCCATCCCTACTACGGGGTAATTTCTTACTTTCTCTGTCTCTGTCTCTCTCCAGCAAGTACATGCACCCTTATAGCAAAAACTAAAATAAATAAGTAATTTTTAAAGAAACTAATAGAGTGATGCTCATAAGAGACACTGAAAGAAGCCTAAGTAGCCATCTCACCCTTTCTGAGCCTCGATTTCATTATCAGTGATACAGAGGTGTCACCACCAGGCAGGATTGTTATAAAGTGAAGATAACTTAGGATATTTAGCTTACAGTATTCATTAAATATATGGCAACTTTTTATTTATAACTTTTTTATACAGAAGTATTTGGAGTTCATGGAAAATTTCAAAAACTCTATTCAGTATTTCAGTTAGAGGCTATCTGGTGGTACAGTGGTAAAATGTGACATTCTGAGGCTGACCCACCTAAGGAGGTTGCTGGTTCACATCCAGAGACCTCCCTGAGTATGGCAGGCAAGTGAGTGCCCATGATCTGGGCTGCTGGAACTGGGGTAGATCATGGCACCATGGCCCTGTTTGGAGTGCTATGTTTCTGTCTCTCTCCTTCCCTGTCTTTCATTTAAGGAATAAATTAATAAATATACACAGACATATATACATACACACAAACATACATATTTCAGTCAATATAAGTCCTTTTTCATAGGGTGATGATGCAGGGAAATTATGCACAATTGACAGTATATCACTCAAAAAAGATAATACTCTCATAAAAATTACCTCTAGAACAGTTTTAACTGTGAGTATAAGTTTGTACCTATAAGATAGAATACACCTAAGAAGGGAAAACATCTGAGCCAAGAGGTGACATGGAGGTTATGGCGCTGGATCCCACATGGCCAACTGCACAGTTAATCTTGGACCTGGCAGCTTGAAAATCAAATTGGCAAAATCCTGAGGAGGCTGAGGAGAAAGGACTGCAGAGTGGCCATCTCCCCATGGGGTGATTTCTCACTTTTTCTCTCTCTCTGTCTCTATCTCTTTCTGGCGACCTCATGCACCCTATAACAAAACTAAATAAATAACAAAAAAAAAAAGAAGGAAAAACAACTTATGTAATATAGCCTACATTTTACGACCCTTCTACCGTCTCCACCCTCTTAAAACCACAGATTACCTCATGCCTGCCCTTTTCAAGTCATTCCCAGGAGTATAAAAAGGAAGGACACCTCTGCCCTCATGAAATGCTAAGTTTTCTTAGAGAAAAATTTCCCACATTACTTTTGAGATGGGATGCTGATACAGCATTGCTGGTAAGTCCCAGGCCCAGGCAACCTTATATTTCTTAGAGATGCAGGCTTCTCTAAGGCAATTTCCCACAGGTTCAGAGATCATGCTAAAATAGTTAACTACTGGCCCACTTAACACAAGATTTAATTTTTTTCAAAGAATTATTTTAAAAATTTTATTTATCATTATTATTATTATTTAATTTGATGAGAGAGGAGGAGATAGAGAAAGTGAAAAAGCAAACCACCAGGTCCAGGACTTGAACCACGGTTATCTATGTGGGAGTCCAGCACCTCAACCACCAGGCCACCCACCAACCCCTAGCACAAGATTTCTAACCTCAGCAATAGTATCATTCAAAAGAGAAATATTTGTATGAACATCAACATTTTTGGTTCTCATTGTGCTCAGTTCCCTCACATCACACATTTCTAAACCTTTGCTTTGAGAGTACCTGATGGACAGGGATGGGGAAAGATGTCAAAGAATCATCTGCTTTAAACCTAAAACTTTCCTTTCAAAAATACCACACCGTGCCTCCTAGGTAGATAGGTAAATAAGTTTTATTATTTAGTCTTGTGCTAAACTGTGCCCCTTACATCCCAATTGGCATGGAAAAGCAGTTTTCAGTAGGGCAGTACAATAAATTCCTTCTTTATTTCTTTCATTATAGACTCCTTTATTATGTTCAAACCTAGTACTTCACCATATTTATTCAATGAAAACAACTCATTCTAGCTAAGCTATAATTCATTAATGGGATTTGGAAGTTTTTTGAGATTAGCAACTGGTAATGGACAATTTCTCAAAGGCCCTTTGGAGCTCTAGAATCAAGGAACAATATGATGTGTTATCTTTCAGAGGCTATTAGAGAACATCTTATTCATGCTTATCATTTTTTTCCTTTAAAGAATTATTTACTTAATTTTATTTATTATTATTATTTTAATTTTCTCACTAGAGAAAAAGAAATCAAGCCACCATGTCCAGGACTTGAACTGCTGTCAGCCATGTGGGAGTCTAATGCCCCAACCACTACACTACCTACTGGCCCCCATTCTCATCATTTTTAAACTAGCAAATCATTTTATAAGACTGCTACCAGGTCAGCAAGTGGCATGGTGGTTAAGATGCTGGACCCTCCCACATGGCCAACCAAGGCTCAAGTCCTGGACCTGGTAGCTTGCTTTCTCACTTTCTCTCTCTTGTCAAATTAAATTAAATGAATGAATAAATAAAATTAAATAAATAATTTTTAAAAAAAGACTGTTACTGAAAACATATGAAAGCTCATAGCCTAGATTCTCTGAAAAGGGAAAACATACCCTCCCCACAAAAGCTAATAGAATTCACAAAAGGAGTAAGTTCCAGAGAGAACTTCTCTCTCATCAGAGTTCAAAAGGGTAACTGTAATCACAAAACAAGGCTCAAAGAGGCATGAGGAAAGGAGGCGCATAGAGAATAAAATGAGGTAATGAGGGCTGAGGCAGAGCATGTACTGCAAGAATGGTCAAAGCAGAGAGATAGATATCTCTCCATCACCCACCTAGGTTGAGAAAAGTAATGTCCTTTGTCACGTGTGAGCCAGTGCTCCCAAGATCAGCGGTGAAGGTCTTTCTGTGTCCTGTCAAGAGAGAATATGAAGCCAGAGAAAGGATGTTAAGAAACAAACCTGGGGGAGACCAGCAGAACCAGCAGATAGAGAAATGGTTATATCACTGGACTTTCATGTAGTTGACCACAGTTCAAGTACCAGACCCGGAGACTTAAAACTTACACTGGGTGCATGTGTGTGAATGCCAAGATCCCAAGAGGAGAATGGAGGAGAAGGGATTTTAGCATGGCCATCCCTTACAAGGGTGATTTCTAGCTTTCTGTCTCTCTGGTGAGCACACATGTCCTATACCAAAAATCTCTCTCAAAAAAAAAGAAAAAGAAAAAAGGAAAAAACCTACGGCACTGACTCAGCATAACACTTTCAACTTGTAGTAACTCTGAAGCTGATAAAAGTAAACATTTCTGACTTCTGGATTTCCACGTTCTCCTCATTTTCCAAAAGCCAGCACTGAAGGAGGACCATCTGATTGCAGTCACAATCCAGTTACTGTGTTGGGTTTATGTATAACCTTAGACAATAAGAGGTGGATTGTTCAGGGCCAGGAGGGTGGTGTGGTGGTAAAGGTGCTGGACTTCCGCATGGTTGACTGTGGTTCAAGTCCTGGACCCAGCAGCTCGAAAATCTGTCAGGCACATGTGTGTGCATGCCCAAAATCCTAAGAGGAGAATGGAGGAAAAGGGACTGCAGGATAACCATTTTCCCAGGGGTGGGGTGGGGTGGGGTGGGGTGGGGTGGGGTAATTTCTCATTTGTCCTCTCTCTCTGGCAAGCACATTTGCCTTATGGCAATCAATCAATCAATAATTTAAAAAAAGGTTCAAGTAGAGAAGAAAGTATCAAAAACTTTACTTAAAAATCCAAGAGATGGTGGCTCACTAGAGAGCAGGTAACTCACTGACTCTCGTGCCTCAAGGCTCACTGCCATGCACATCCAATGATAAAGGCCCACTGAAACTTCTCAGAGTCACTTTTAGTTAGAAAGAGGATTAGACTACTACTAAACTCAGTGTTAAGAGCTTCATTCTCCACTCTTTAGTTCTTAATCTTCAAAAGGGTTTTAATGGTTCTAATCATTAATCATCAGAAAAAAAAGTATGAAAACTTTTTGCAAAGTCTCAAATTTATATTTAAGCATGTATGTGTGTCTAGTTCCAAAGTTACTTAAGTTTCTCCATTAGTGAGTTTTTAAGCATTTTTATCTGATTGCTGACCTGTGAAGGCAGGTTTAGTCATTCATGTAGAATGACAAACATCTTGTGTGGCTTGGCATAAAATTCCTTAAATACTGGGGAAATTTTCTTTTTCTTTTTTTTTTTTTAAGAGCTATTTATGTTATAGGGCACATATGCTTGCTAGAGTGACAGAGAGAGACAGAAAGAGAGAAAGCGAACTATCACTCCCCAGGGGAGATGGCTAAGCCGCAATCCCTCCTTCATTCTCCTCTCAGGATTTGGGGCAGCACGCACACTCACCCAACATGAGTTTCGAACTGCAGTCAGTCATGTGGGAGTCCAACACGTCAATCACCATGTCCCCCTTGTTTTAAGGTTTTTGTCATAGAGCATGTGTGATCTTCAAGAGAAACAGCAATAAAGAAAAATCACCCCCTAGGGGGAATGGCCACGTAACAATTCCTTCTCCTCCATTCTCCTCCTGGGATTCTGAGGACACAGCACATAGGCCTGGCATGATTTTAAAGCCACCAGACCCAGGACCATACAGTTGGCCACGTGGGAGTCCAGTGCTTCAACTATCATGCCACTTACTGGCCCCAAAATTTCATCTTTCAAACATTTTATCTCTACTCACAGTACGTATCACACAAATGCTAATTTTAAGGAACTAAATGAGCAAATGCATACATCTTGGCAGTGTTCTGACTAAACTATCAATATTAAAGGGCATGTTGTGGCTGATGACAGAACTGAACTGGGTATTTCACTCCTGCTCCCCAGCATGTGGACATACCACAGTATTAAAAACAGAATAAACACATCTTAGAACTAAAACCTGTTTGGTCCTGAGACTGTGAAAACTTTTAACTTTATAAGTTAACTCCACAGATAACTTTCCAATGAGTACTACCTAAAAAAGTAAATATACTCTTTGAGCAAAATAGTCATTAAGCTAGGATTTTCTAAATATATAATTATCTAAATATTTACCATTAGTGAATTTTCTTGAGGAAATATGAATTATATGGGCTTATAGGTTTATCAATATATTGATAAAAATTGATTATAAGATAATGATTATAAAATCTAATTTGCTACTCCTTTGGGAAATGTGATTATACAGAAGCTAAAGGGAAGAATAAGTGAAAAGTACCTTTATGAAAGTAAAATACTGAATATGTCATTTGTTCCCAAGAGTCAAACTTCGGGCAGTAACATACACACAGGCTCCCTAGAAGGAAGAAGGTATTTAGTACAGTTTAACAGAATCTGTGTCATAAAAAGTTTTCTAAGTCACTTAGACTTATTTCTATTCGGTTAGTTGTCCTACCTCATACTACTTCTGAGATTATTCCAAAATGCTAGAAGTGGTTTATTAACAAGTTGTCAAAAAATTTAGCAGTAATTAGCACATAGTATAAGCAATGTATCATAGTCAGCTGTTAAAGGACAGGAAAACAAAGAGTCACACTTGCATATAAAATCATGGGAGTATAGAAAAGCTGCCTAATTTCTTAAAATTCTCCTAATACGCATGCACTCTTATCTAAGCTGTCACTTTTTTTTTTTTTAAGAGAGATTTTTGCTATTGGATATGTGTGCTTGCCAGAGAGACATAAAGCGAGAATCACCCCCTGGGGGATCACCATGCCACAATCCCTTCTTCTTCATTCTCCTCTTGGGATTCTAGGCATGTATGCACATGTGCCTGGTGTGAGTTCTAAGCTGCCAGATCCAGAACTCAAACCACAGTTGACTATGTGGAGTCTGGCAATGTAATCATTATGCCATCTACTGGTCCCCACTTTTTTTTTTTGGAGAGGTTTTTGCTATAGGGCACTTGTGCTCGCCAAAGAGACAGAGACAGAAAGTGAGAAATCACCCCCCAGGGGGGATGGCCACGCCACAATCCCTTCTCCTCTATTCTCCTCATGGGATCTTGGGCAGGCATGCACTCACATGTGCCTGGCTTGAGTTTAAGCCACCAGTCTGGGACTCAAACTATGGTTGACTCCGTGAGAGTCCAGCGACATAGCCATTACACCATCTGTTGGTCCTACTTTAAAAAATAAAAAAGTTTGTTATGGTGTGCATATACTTGCTGGAGAAAGAGACACAAAAAGACACAAAGGGGGAAGGTGAAAAAGCACCCCTACCCACCTCAATCCCATCCTCTCCATTCTCTCAGGATTCGGGACACACACACACACACACACACACACACACACACACACACAGATTTTCAAGCTACCAAGTCCCAAAATGGAAGCATGCACTCAGCCATGTGGAATCCAACTGCCTTAACTACAACACCACCATCTGCCCCACTTATCACCATTCAATCATTAGTAACATCTGTAGACCCCAGCTTATCACAAATATTTCTTCATGTAAAATAATCACTCTTTGTTATTTATCTAGAACGAAAGGTAAACTGATCTATACTATTGGGCAATAAGAGCAAATGTGGTGTGTGAACCTCTACCCACCCACACTTGGGTCATTGAAGGCACTGCCCAAAGACCAAAGGATTTTGGCACAGAGCAGCCTTTCCAGATGAGCCCTGACTACGTTCACTTACCACATCACCCCAGAGCACCTCAGTCTTCCCACTTCTCTATGTGTAAAACCATACATTCTCTCTAGCAGCTGCTGGATAGACTAAAGTCCATCAGTGCCCTACAAATGAGACCATTATGCTTAGATTGATACAGTTGTCCCTTGGTATCTGAGGAAGATTGGTTCCAGGACTCCCTATGGATATCAAAATCCACCGATATTCAAGTCCCTTTCATAAAATGGCATTATATTTGCACATAACTTGCACACATTCTTTTGTACACTTTAAAGCACTTCTAAATTATTTATCATACTTAAAAATAATGTAAGTTCTATGTAAATAGTTGTAACATTGGATTGTTTCTTATTTATATTTTTGATTGCTGTACTTTTTTGTTTTTCTGAATATTTTCTACCAACTGTAGGTTGAATCCACAGTTGTATAATCTACAATGTGGAAGACCAACTGTATTTCCAATTATTAGATTGTGATTCAGTCTCCCCTCTTAGTCCAAAAGGTGTTGGGGAGAGATGCAGCAAAGAGAAAAGTGCTGAGCCAGGCTGTGCCAAGCTGCCCAATGGAACTCTCTTCCATGGTAGCAATATATTATGCCTGTGCAGTCCAACATGGGAGCCACTAGATCTATGTAGTCATCAAGCACTTAAAATATAGCAAATATGGGCCAGGCTTCATAGCCTAGTGGTTAAGGAAATTGGATCCCACACAGCTATGGTTCAAATCCTGCCCTGGCAGCTTCAAAAAAACTTTCCGGGCCCAAATGTGTGTGTATGTCCCAAATTCCAACAGGACTGAAAAATAAAGAGACTGTGGCATGACCATGCCCCATTGGAGTGTTTCTTTTTCTCTCTCCATTTCTCTCTAGCAAGCTTAGATGTCCTCTCGTAATAAAAAAAAAAAAAAGTTTTTTTAATTCATCTAGTATGACTAAGGAGCTACTTTTTAATTTTTTTTGGAGAGGTATTCGCTATAGGGCACATGCACTCACCAGAAAGACAGAGAGAGACAGAGAGACAGAAAGCGAGAAATCATAACCCCCTCCCCCAGAGGGGATGGCCATGCCGCAATCCCTTCTCCTCCATTCTCCTCTTGGGATCTTGGGCACACACACACACACGTGCCCAGAGTGAGTTTCAAGCCACCGGGTCCGGGACTCAAACCACAGTCAACTACATGGAAGTTCCAGTGACATAGCCATTACACCAACTGTTGGTCCCACTTTTTAATTTTTTTTCTTTTAATTAACTTAAATTTAAATAGCCACACACGGCTAATGGCTAACATCCTGGACAACAAAGCTTAGAGTACTGTTCCTACACCATGACAGTACCTTAAGCTTAGGGATCACAGATTCACACACCACACCTCAAATCAACTAAATTAAAATCTCTGGGGGTGATATCCGTGCATTAATATGTTTTCAACCTTGCTGATTCTAATGTGTCATCAAAGTTGAGAACTATTTTTTTAAACCAGGAGATCTAGATGTAAACCCTGTCTTTTGGCTTACTAAGTATATTGCCTCAGGCAAGTTCATTGAATTTTGTAAGCCTCACTTTCTTCATGTATAAAAAAAGAACATATAGTACCTACTTCCTAAGGTTCTTATATGAGAATTAAATGAGATCACATATATAAAGCTCTGGCAGAGTAGTTATATTTAGCTATAACTGTTAGCTGCTATTACTGTTTTAGATTAATTCTGCTGCTCTGTACAAGTTGGGGGAAGTCACAATTTGAAAAACAAAGCAAGCTCTTAAATGGTATATCCAGAGTTGTTTAATAAATATTCATCAATGATGAAGATAACATCTCACTGTTGGCTAGCCTTCAGGAAACCATTTAGACAATGAAAGCTACTATGAACAAAGTTTTCCAAGGGAAATTATCTCATTGGAACAATTATTAAAAGACTATAAAATGTTTAAATGCTGCCCTAATTTTGGGAGTTTGTGACAAGTAACTCCTGCAAGTATCCAAATGGGAAGGAAAATTAACACATTTCCCCACTCACTGTCTCCCAGTAGGTGGTGTATACAAGAGAAATAGTCACTAACTTGGAACATATAAAAATTACTTAAGGACAGCTTCAAGGCTGACTATCTGAAAGGGAAAGAATAAAAATAGGAGTTTTGGGTTGTTTTTTTTTTTTTCTTTTCAAAGCTTAGAAGTCTTCTAAATTATTTATCTCCTACTCTAAGAGATTTATCACAACAATCTATAAGAACTTTTAATCTTAAATAAACAGCAATGGCCAGACAACAGCAGCAGCACTTTTGCCCACCAGCAGCTCTCATGAGCACACCCATTATTCAGATTTAACCTCTAACTCCTTGGCAGGTAGCTGGTTTCATGTTTTAAAGCAGGAAAATTCAGGACAATTTTTTTTCCCCCTTAAGGCACATGCACTTGCAGGACCAAAACAGAAGTAAAGTGAGAAATGAGTCCATAGGAGGGATGGCTACACAGCAATCCCTTCTCCTCTATTCTCCTCTCAAGATTTTGGGCACACATGTACATGCATTTGGAATTCGAATTATAGTTGACTATGTGGGACTCCAGCACCTTAATCACCACACCACCTGCTGGCTCCCCAACAAACGTTTACAAATGTAAAAAGTAATGCTGACTGACAGAGCAGCTCCCAATGACCAAGATGTGACAAATAAGCATCAGGTATCATTATAACATCATCATTCATGTAAATAATTAGATACATTGATTCTGTATAATGCTGAGTCTTTCAGCATTCCTTGCACAAACCATGCTGTCTGGTCTACATTCCAGTGGTGAATTAAACTATTATTGAGAGAGCCATCTTTGAATTAGAATATTTCCTCCTTTCTCCAGTCCCACTTCACTGAAGTAGTTATCTTTTTGTTTGGTTTTTGGTTTTTGTTAGTGTTGTTTTAATTTGCCAGAGGTCAAATGCACTCACCAGAGAGAGGGAGGTTGAAAGGGAGGGAGAGAAAGAACACCCTATACAGACTGGTCATGCCACAATCCTTTATCCATTCTTTCAGGATTTGGGGCACATGTGCATGTGCACTTGGTGTGTTTTTCAAGCCACTGAGGCCAGAACTCAAATCCCTAATTGGCAATGTGGGATCCAGCTTCCTTAACTACCAGGCCACATGGGCTGGTCCCACTGGAGTAGATTTTTGTTTTAACCATAAAGATAGATAGATAGATAGATGATTGATTTATTGATAGATAGAAAGATAGATAGATAGATAGATAGATAAAGTAATCATTTCTGGAAATTATTTGGGAAATACATGAACTGACAACTCTAAAACCAAGAGATTATATTGCTGGCTTCTTTTAGCTTAAATCTGGAAGCCTCATTTGAAACATGTTTTTTGTTTGCTTTTTTTACCTATTTCAAAGCTGACTGCAAAGAACATGGTTCATTTGCTACTTTCCCAGACATTGCTGAGAAAGGAGAAAACAGACTTCCACATCTCATGCCAGATAAACCTAACACTTCATTAAATAATGTATGTCAGAGATAGCCCATTTATAAGTTACAGCTGCTACTGTTCAAGAGAAAGTACAAAGAGGAAAAGAGAAAAAGAATAAAAAGTCACATAGAATTAAAGCCTGAAATGATTGCTTTAAATCTACTGGATATAAACAAAGTAGCAGAGAAGAATCTACCCTGGCTTCTGCATGTGAGCTCTGGATTCTATTTCATCCTGCCTTCTAAGCAAATTCAAACCAATTATTCTCTGCTGTGTGCTGTCCTCTTTTTCCTCACTACTAAATATATCTAAGTAAGCATTCAAATATAGAATTTTGACTGTCTTATAAAACTGTATTCTTAAAATCCCAATTCCACTTTAAGCTGCTGCCTCCTTCATGTCTACATGTGCTGCTGACTTGTTTTTGGAGAGATTTTGGTATAGGGTGTGTGCACTCGACAGAGAGACAGAGAGACAGAAAGTGAGAAATCATTCCCCAGGGAGGATGGTCAAGTCGCAATCCCTTCTCCTCCATTCTTCTCTTAGGATTTTGGGCATACAATGCACATTAGCCTGGCATGAGTTTCAAGCCTCCAGGTCAGGGACTCAAACCACTGTCCACCATGTAAGAGTCCAGTGCCTAAACCACTATGCCACCTGCCGGCACTAACTCTTTCAGTTCCCGTATGCCTTAACACGACACAATCAAGATTGCACATCAGCTACCCAACATAGATAGTTCACAGTAACTGCTATGCTGCTAGACCCAAGGGACTCATCCTCTTAATACTTACTGACAATTAACCACTCTCTCCTTGGTGAAAACTCCCTCTGCCTTCAGCTCCTGTGATAGCACCTTTGTTCTGGTTTCCCTCCTCTCTTCACATTTTTTCCTTTTCTTTTGGCTGTTCTGCCTAATCTTTATGTATTTATGGCCCTAAATTATGTCATTAAATAATGTATGGCTCTCCTTTTCACCCCATACCCACTGCTCTCGTGATTTCAAATGCCAGCTATATTCTGACAAGTTCCATATTTATTTATTGATGGTCCTGATCCCTCCTCTAAGATCCAGATCTCTTAGTTCACGTAACTCACGATTTTCCTTTCTGAGCCCACCAAAACCCCTGTACCCGATAAATGGCACCACTGTTTACCCATGTACTTATGCCAGAAAATGAAGAATTATTTCTCTCCATTCTAATCTGTAACAAATCCTCTCAGTTTCATCTCCAAAATGTATTTCAAACTCATCTAGCTCTGTCCGACTCCACTGCCCATTGTATTGAATAGCCCCCCTCATCTCAAATATACAACCATGGCCTCATCTACCCACTCTTCCTCTTGCCTCTTCCAGTCCATTCTTCAGCAAGCAGCCATAGTGATGTCCTAAAAATACATACTGAATCAGGTCACTGCCTGCTCAACACACTTCAATGACAGCACATTAGTGGATCTTAAAACTACAAGTGAAAAGTTGTTAGAAAACAAGATATTAGTATGGTGCTAAAGTATCACCCCATAAATTACTAATTTAGAGATTAAAATGTGTCTTTGCAAGGAAGACCCACAATGGTTGCCATTTAACCAAATGCCCGAACTCAACATCACCAACAATAGGACATACTGACAACAGTAGGACAGTTCCGACTAATTCGAATGAAATTCAAAGCATCGCCTATGAAACATTTTCACTGAAAACACTTAACTTATGTCTAACTGTGCCTTTAGACCAGACTTCCAATTTAAATGTAGAGAAGAAAAGTAAACGGTAAATATCTCTACAAGAAAACAATGAGATAAATCCAGAATGTAGGACATTCCGTAAGGCAAATGGCCTGTACTCCTCAAAATGTCAAAAATGTGGGGGAGAAAGGAGTGGGAGATGGGAGATGGACTTATTGTAGTTTAAAAGAAACAAAGTCTTAGTTAAATATAATGCATAAATCTTGATGGGATCCTGACTTTTAAAATTATATACTTGAGGACCAGCAGATAGTGTAATGGTTACGTCGTTGGACTCTCACACAGTCAGCCACGGTTCAAGTCCCAGACCTGGCAGCTTAAAACTCATGCTGGGCACATGTGTGTGTGTGTCTGTGTATGTGCCCAGGATCCCGGGAGGAGAATGCAGAAGAAGGGATTGTGGCATGGCCATTCCCCAGGGGGATGATTTCTCACTTTCTATCTCTCTGTCTTTATGGAGAGCACACATGCCCTATCACAAAAATCTCTCTAAACAAAACAAAACAAATATGTATACACGCACATACATATATACATACACACACATACACTTAGGGGACCAGCAGATGGCACAGTAGTTAAGGTGCTGGACTCCCACAGGGCCAACTGTGGTTCAAGTCCCAGACCTGGAAGTTTACTTTCTCACTTTCTTTTTTTCTTTCTGATGAGCAAACATGTCCTATAGAAAAATTTAAAAAATAAGAATAAATCAAATTAAATAATTATTTTTAAAAATTATATACCTATATTTTATTATTTACTTATATACACATATATACACATACATGCACATGACATTTTTAAACAATTATGGAAATTATTTGAATACAAAATAGTGTTTATTAATTAATGTAATATTTTTCAGTGATAATGGAATGAAGGTTACACAGAAGAGCATCCTCAGCCTAAGGAGATATGTGAATTATTTAGTGGTGAAGAATTATGATGTCTGCAATTTCCTTTTGCTTGGTTTATTTAAAAAGAAGAAAATAGTACCTATATATGGGCAGAATGGTTAAGTCAAACACTATAAATGATACAATTATTTAGGGAAAATGTACATAGACACATTATGTTATGTAACTCTTTAGGATGCTTTGTCATTCCCAAAATAAACTGTGATAAGAAAAATAAATGAATACATTCAATGATTTTTCCTAACTGTTAGGGTAAAAATATAAATACTCTGACAATGCATGGGGCCTTACATAATTGGGCCCCGTCTACTTCTCCAGCTTTCCCTTACAATACTCCCCCCATCCCTCATTCTACCTCAGTCACACTGGTCTTAGTTCATATACACCCTTCAAGTCTCAACTGAAATATTTTCTTTCTTGTACTCCCCAGAACTGGTTTATAGAGGGACTTGACTTATGTGGCTGAGAGAGACCTAGAATGGACAGGAAAAGACAGGATGAACTACGAGAAGTAAGGTGGGAAAAGGAACAATTTTCAGGACTAATAATGGGATGGAATATCTTGGAGGAAAGAGTAGGGATGGAGCGGCTGAATTAGAATATAGTTGAAGATACTAATATCTTCTATTAAGCCTCTATCACATGTTCTGATGGCTTTCTATAATTTTCATAATATGGAATGTCTAAAATCTACACCAAATAATAAGCCATATAGTAATAAAAAAAAATCAAGTCAGTTTGCTCATCATTGTATACCCAAAGCCTAGCACATAGTAAATGCTCAATAGATGTTAATTAAATGTATGAATACCATACAATTTGGCTTTAAAGGAATCCAATTATAATCCAAGTGCTACTCAGTTCATGTAGTGAATATCCACTCAAGTTGGCATATTAAAAAGGGAGATTATATTTATTTATTAGCACAGTTATTTAGACTGAATAATTTAAAGAGCAATTTTTGCACAAGATTCTTTGAATATAATCATATTCCTCTCTTCTTATTTTCAGGTATTCTTTTTCCCTTTCCATTTTCTCTATAATGGACATGTGTTAAAGGACAGAATATTGGACATTAATAACTTTATATCAACTCCTGATTGTTAGATTAAATGATTATAGCATTACTTTTAAAGCCAAGTGTATGGATTTAGAATCCAAACATATTAGTAAGCCTGATACAGGAAATGTCCCCATTGCTTTATACCATTTGTTAAAAGATAGAGCAAGTGAGAAAATGTAGATTGATTAATTAATCACTCTCTCTCTTAGAACAAAAATAACTATTAAAACAATACCCTGGGACCAGTAGGTGGTGTGGTGGTTAAGGTGCTGGACACTCCCACATGGCCGACCAGGGTTCGAGTCCTGAATCTGGTGGCTTGCTTTCTCACTTCCTTTCTCTCTCACTCTCACCCTCTGTCTCTCTCTGATCAAATTAAGAAATAAATGAATGAATAAATAAATAAATAAAGTAATTATTAAAAAAAGAATACAGTTTACCCTCTATGTTAAAAAAAAAAAAAAACAATACCCTGATGACTGTAGTTTCCTTCATTCAGACAGAATATTTATAAAATGATAGTGGAGAAGATAATTTGGCTATGAAAATCCACATGATTTTGTATGTAAGAAGGTGACTCTTGTTATATTTCATTTTCAGGATCCACATAACCCACATAAAGATCAAAGACTAAATTTTGTGTGGAATTCAAGTAAAGAAAAATAAATCAATTAATACGACCCAGGTTCTACCTGTATGGTTGGTAAAAACACACAGAGTCAAGTGTTTGGATAATTTCTCTTCTTCTTGACAATAATCACATCCAAAGTTGACAAGTCTAAGAACAAAAAAGAAAAAAATTATTGAATACATCCTCTCATGAAGGATATGAGTTGCTGCTATATTATACCCACAGAAGTAGAGACATGTCCCTAGACATAAGTAGATAACTTTTTTTGTAACAGAATTCTTTTCATACTATATACATGATGTAGGCCTGGCAACAGAAATGTGTGTGTATGTGTGTGTATTATACCCCTATATAGCTTATAACTCACATATAAGATATGAAATTATGAAATTTTAGAAGACATATATTAAATTATAACATTTTTTTCTGATTTAGAATGAATATATCCTATTTTTAAAATTATTTTATTTAACTTTATTTATTATTATTGTTGTTGTTATCTATTATTATTATTTAACTTTATTTGTTTTATTTATTTAATTTGACCAGATAGAGAGAGAAAGTGAGAGAGCAAGCCACTAGGTCTGGAACTTGAACTGTGGTCAGCCATGTGAAGTCCAGTGCCCTTAACTACCACACCACCTGCCAGCCCAAGAATAAATATACTTTAAATATACCATGAAGAATGCACTGTTTCAATTAAGTAGAACTCAAGGTTGACGTATGATGAAATAAACTAGTGAAGTATATAGCCATTAGGATTATCATTAGTCTGATATAGGAAGACTTTCATTTTTTTTCTGTGCATTGCTAGTCTTGTATGTATCTGCCTCTCCCCTCCAACTAAACATAGTTGGCAAGGGGGAAACATCCTGCTTTATGTGTAAAAAGAAACTGGTAATAAATAAATAAACAAATAGAGCAATAGACTCAGCTGAGATATGATTGACCTGTGACATCTTCTTTGATGACAATAAGAAAAGGGTTGTATAAATGTAGCACCCTATGACTCGTTGAACTCTTTAATCACATCAAAATAAATGGATGTCCTACAGAAATAAATGACTAAGAAAATCAACAGAATTAACTTCACATGTACAATCCTGTGTTCCTGAGAAAGTTGTGTATATTCCCTATAGAAAATGGGACTATTGAGACCAGCAGTTAGCATAATAGCTGTGGCTGAACTCCCATGTAGTCTACCGCGGTTCGAGTCCCGGATCTGGTGGCTTAAACTGACACTGGGCATGTATGCCTGTGTGCTCAAGATCACAAGAGGAGAATGGAGGAGAAGGGACTGCAGCATGGCCATCCCCCCTGGGGGGTGATTTCTCACTTTCTGTCTCTCTGTCTCTTTGTCTCTTTCTGGTGAGTGCACACGCCCTATAGCAAAAACCTCTCTGAAAAGAAAGAAAATGGGAATATTAAAAAAAAAAAAAGGTACATACACACACAATATCTTTTTTTTTTTTTTAAGAGATTTTTGGTGCCTGTGCTCACCAGGGAGACGGAGTCAGAGAGATGGAAAATGAGAAATCACCCCCTGGGGGATTGGCCATGCTGCAATCCCTTCTCTATTCTCTTGGGATCTTGGGTGCACACACGTGCCTGGCATTAGTTTTAAGTTGCCAAGTCCTGGACTTAAACCTAGGTCAACTCTATGGGAGTCCAGAGATGTAACCATTACACCATCTGCTGGTCCCCCACACAGAATATCACTGTCCTTTTATCTGCATACCATAGATTAGGAATAAATATAATCATTTGTCCACAAGTGTCTGTATTAATTAACAATCCATAAATAACTTACTTCAATCCCGAGTCACTTAATGATATGTCCAAAGGTGCTTCAAACTGTCAAAAAAAAAAAGGTCAGGAGAAAATGACTCCCCAAAATGACAATAAATGGGAACTGTTCTGAAAACCGGAGCAAGCCCTAGGGTGCTGTGCTTGCCTTATGACAAAGTGCCTTGTAAACCAGCATTGTCTTCAGAGGATAGACCCCTCCAAGTCCACAGCACAGAAAATCCTTTGAGAATATTCTAGAGTTTATATACAATCAAAAGTTTGATGTGTATGTATTTCTTAATGGGATACATTTGATAAAGTATGCCTTAGATTTGAATAACATAAACAAGTTGTATAACACCCCAACAGGAAGAAGTTGCCTTTACTAAGAAACACATGATCACATAAGGAAAAAGAACTGAGTATTCTTTTTTATTTTTTACATAGGGTGTATGCACTTGCCATAGAGAGGGGGAAAGTGAGAAATCATGTCCCAGGGGGGATAACCATGCCACAATCCCTTCTCTTCTTGGGATTTTGGGCATGCACACACACATGTCCAAGTGTGATTTTGAAGTCACAGTTGGCTATGTGGGAGTTCAGCTGCCTTAGCCACCATGTTGTCTGTTGGCCCCCAAGAACTAGGTATCTTTAGAAGGAAAGTGAATAAGCCAAAAGAAAACCGTTCAGGAGGTGTAGATGAAATGTTTGTAATGGTATGATACCAATCTTATATGAGATACCAGTATTATTCCAAGTCAAAAATAACATGCTGACCAGCACAAATGAAGATAATGGGGACTCTCCAAGAAGTTCATGGAAAACACACACTATGAAGAAACTATGCACGGATTTCAAAAACAATTCAGAATCAAAATAAACTCATACTTTAAATCTATTTTCCATTAACTTTTTGAAATCCCTTGTGTTAGTGACGCCTCACCTAACTCCAAATAGCTTTTCCAGTAGTAATGCTAGATTTTTATTAATTAAATGATACCCTCTCATTGGCTTTTTTCCTAGTCTCAAATTCACCATTCTAATAAGCCCTTCTGGGTCAAATAACTTGCAACCATGTTGCCCAATCTTCTGTAGACCACACTTACTTCCTTTTAGTCCCTACTCTTATGCTTGGTATCTTTAATGTGAGACATTTAGGTAGTAGAGATTTCTTATCTGTGCTCTTCAAATCGCCTACATTAATTGCATTTACTATAGAGTTGAGGCCTTCAGATGGAAAGACTATTTTACTTACTTATACAAGTGATTCACTCACACAACAAGAAGAATGCTAAACTGCTATTTATAACAATACTCTTAAAAGGGGGGCAACGCGCTCTAACATTTCCTGATTATTTTCTGTACTTACCATTAAAGTAAAGCTCTCATTAGGATAAAACTGGATGCATTTTAAGACACTCCTTGATTTCTAAGAGAGAAAACAGAATGACTTACCATGAAAACAAGAAAAAAAAAAAACTCAGCAGAAATGCTAGAAAGAGAGAGAAAGGAAACAGTCAAGAAGTACAAGGGGAGATGTACTATACAGCAGATGGCATAATGGTCACATTGCTGGACTCCCACGCAGCTGACCGCAATTCAAGTCCCAGACCTGGCAGTTTAAAACTCAGACCAGGTGCATGTGTATGCATACCCAAAGTCCTAAGCAGAGAATGGAGGAGGGCCTGCAGCATTGTCATTCCCCTGGGGGATGACTTCTCATTTTCTGTATCTGTCTCTCTAGCAAGCACACACACCCTATAGCAAAAATCTCTTGGGGAAAAAAAAGTACAAGGAATCTTCAAGAGGTTCATGGAAAATACATATGCAAAGACTATATATAGATTTCTATTTTTTTTTTGGCTTCAAAAAACTCACATCTCATTTTCCCACAATGTTTTTGAAATCTCCTTATAGCAATGAATATCTTTTCATTCTTTTTAAAATTATTTTAAAATTTTTAATTATTAATATTATTTTAAATTTGCTATACAGCATGTACACTTGACAGAGAGAGAGAAAAAGTGAGAAAGTAAGCCAAGTAACCAGGTTGGGGACTGGAACCAGGTTGGGAACTGGAACTACAGTCAGCCATGTGGGAGTCTAGTGCCTTAACCACCATGCCACTTGCTGGCCCTCTCTTCATTATTAATAAACTTTCATCGACTGTTTCCATCAATGATAATGTGTTTAGTGAATTACAGTAATGATAATGTCACAAATCAAATTGTTTCTATAAAAGTGAATACTTGTGGAATATTTTGTACCTTCAGGTCAATGTAGTATAACCTCTGCTCTGACATATCCCACTGAGCCCAAACAAAATCTTCAGCTATTCTGTCTCTTGGGAGATGGCCAGAATTTTTCATCACCTAAAGAGATTTTTTAAAAAAATTATAAGCAGATAACTATTTTAAAGGTGAATATATATGTAATTCATTATTTTGCATATTCTATCTTTATGATACATGTAAATATTTCCATAGCTTATTTTTAGCAGCTCCTACACTCCCAACACACAGTCTTTCCAGAAAAGTTTTATTTCTTCCTCATCCTAACACTCCATTATGTACCATTTTACTATCATTTTTAGTTTAACAAACTGGCTGGGGCTATTAAAGGCAAGACCACACCTACCACAAACCAACAGCTGCATTAATAGAATATTCAAAACTCCCTGTTCCAAATATAACCCCTTCATCAGCCTCTGCAGACAAGCCTTCATTACCAGTAACAGGCTGTGATCCTCAGGGAAAACTCAGGAGAGAGGAAGTAAAAGGCTATGACCCCAGTTGGGCCATAGTCCAACCGTATCTATTACCATTATGTCTTCCACAGTAAGTATGATGTTACTTCCCATCTCAGCAATATTTAACCACTCAGCTTTCAAGACCCGACTTATACAATTAGCTCCTGTACAAAGCTTTCCCTCACTTCTCCAAGATGAAAGCAATGCTCCACATTTCTGTAGTCCTACAGTGTTTAGCACATATCTATTACAATTTCATATTAATTAATACTAGAAGTCATCCCTCAACAAGTATGCGCTCTTATAAGGCATCTTTATATTTTCAATGTCTTGATTGTTTTTAACATACAATGGTATTCAATGAATGCCTGTCTAAAAAAAAAAAAAAGGAAAATGAAATAACATGTAGAAAGATAAATTGCCAAGGATATTACAGCTGTAAAATATTTGTTAGTGAGGCCAGCAGGTGGTGTGGTGGTTAAGGTGCTGGACTCCTACATGGCTAACCACAGTTCAAATCCCAGACCTGGCAACTTGCTTTTTCACATTTCCCCCCCTCCCCATCTCTGTCTCCCTCTAGTAACACACATGCCCTATAGCAAATTTTAATAAATAATAATTAATTAATTGATTAAATTAAATAATTCTAAAAGTTTGTTAGCTAAATAACAAAATCAGAAAATTTTTGATCTTTAGAATCAGAAGATTCCAGAAATCATCTTATTCAATCCATCTACTCTACAGGTAAGAAAACTGAGGCCCAGAGAGGTGAGATTAGGCTGATAATTGGTCTAACAAGACCCAGGATCCCATTATCCCTTTTTGTACATCAACTGTCCTCATAATGACTTAACAGGAGTTAAGAATTCACTTCCTGGGGCTGGCAAGAGGTACGGTGGGTAAGGTGCTAGATTCCCACATGGCTGATCATGGTTGAGTCCCAGACCTGGTGGCTTGCTTTCTCATTTTCTCTATGGACAAATTAAAAAATTATAATAATAAATAAAATTAAACAAATAATTTTTTTTTGGGGGGGAGAGGTTTTTGCTATAGGGTGCATGTGCTCGCCAGACAGAGAGAGGACAGAGAGACAGAAAGCGAGAAATCATCCCCCGGGGAAATGGCCATGCCGCAATCCCTTCTCCTCCTTTCTCCTCCTGGGATCTTGGGCACGCACACACACACACACACGCCCAGCATGAGTTTTAAGCCACCAGGTCCAGGACGTGAACTGCAGTTGACTACATGGGAGTCCAGCGACATAGGCATTACGCTAACTGCTGGTCCCTTAAACAAATGATTCTTTTAAAAAAGAATTCACTTTTCTCAAAATGCTTATCCAGAATAAGTAATCTACATTGAGAAGGATAAGTAAAGAGTAGAGATAGGCTGAGGAAGAAGTAGTTAGAGAAAGGGGCCAGCAATTAGCGTAATGGCTATGTTGCTGGACTCCCACGTAGTCGACCGCGGTTCGAATCCCGGACCCGGTGGCTTAAACTCATGCTGGGCGCGTGTGCGTGCGTGCCCAAGATCCCGAGAGGAGAATGTAGGAGAAGGGATTGCGGCGTGGCCATTCCCCCTAGGGGGGGTGATTTCTCGCTTTCTATCTCTCTGTCTGGTGAGCGCACACGCCCTATAGCTAAAACCTCTCAAAAAAAAAAAAGAAAAGAAAAAGAAATTAGAGGAAAAAAAATGTCAGAATGGTCCATATTCATGCCTGTGTCCTCTCTAATCCTGACAGGAATTTTTCCACCAAGGCTAACTTGGAACTTGAGGGAGGCACCCAGCATAAAGAATTGAATACCTCTATTTCTTAGTAGCCCAGATCCATTACATCAAGGCTGGAAAAAAGTGATGCTGGACAAAAGATCCAAAATAATCTGGAATGTCTCTAAGCCTTGGGTAATTCATCTTGCTTCCACTTTTCTGAAATTTGTTAGGTTAGGATAGATTTGGGAACTCTTTTAGATAAAGCTATATGCTGACAAAAACACAATCATCAAAGTGTGGCATACACAAGTTCAGATCACTATTTTGTCCTCTAGAATTTCTTCACCTGAGTCTTGGTTTTCAACTTCCCTATAACTACAGTACCACCTCTGTCATCAGGAATGCTATGAAGAACACATGGAATTGCATACTGCTATAAGAAGTGGCTGTCTAAGTCTTTAGGACTCAGGGCAGAAGTGACACTTGAAGAGCACAGGCAAGTGAAGGAATAATGAGGGTGCTCTTGACAAAACAGAGTCGTTTTAAGGACAGGCATCCCCTCCTCCTCACTCTCTTCTACCATCCACTTCCCTTATCTATAATTATTTCCAGTTCCTGACACCAACTTATTTAAATCCTGCCTCTAAATTCTCATGGCTCTTTGAGATTTGGTCTTTGTCTTTATTCTTGAGCTTGACCCTCTTCCGACCCTGTCCTGCCCTTGCACTGCCATCCACTGGTGGCCTAGATCTCCCACCACACTCTTCCTCCTGGTAATCGAGTTGTGAACAAAAAGAGGTAAAAAAAAAAAAAAAAAACAGGAAAGGGAATCATGGAAAATAAGCAAAAAAGGAAACGAAAATTATATTATGTAAAACTACATATTATGATTCCATTTGTTTTAATGTGTGTGTGTGCACACACATAAATCAGAAAAAAACTACTATTTGTATCTCTATTTAGTAACCTATAGGGACTCTTGAAATATTAAATTAGAAAAGCAAACACAGAAGCAGCAAGTAAATGTACACAGTATGATACTTTTTGGTAAAAAAAAAAAAAATTGAATCCCTATACATGTGCATTTGTATCCCTTTTATTAATTTACATGAGCAAGATGAAGCTCCAGAAAGACTCACAGGAGGCAATTATTATTAGTTTCCTCAGGAGATTGCGATTAGGTTGGATAGAGATTAACAGGGATAAACTCCTTCATATATTTGTATTGTTTCACATGTTACAACACCTATCACGTAAAAGACAGCAAATAAAATGTATTAAAACATTAACCTATCTTTAACAGTCATGTAGCTCTTTGTGGGAAGAAATATGAAGCAAAAGGAATTTCAAATCTTTACCACTCTATTTCCATCTTCTTGGGTCACTTGGATATGAAATTGCTCAATATCTTCAAAAAAGAAACAAAAAAAGATCATTTTATCTTCAAGAAAAACATGAGTACTTTTTTCATATAATATGAAGTCATGTACAAATTTTTATTAAAGTAATGCAGATTAGAGCCAGCGGGTGGTTGGGACCAGCAGTTAAGTGTAATGGCTATGTCACTGGACTCCCACATAGTCGACCGTGGTTTGAGTCCTGGACCCGGTGGCTTAAAAGTCACGCCGGGCACGTGTGCATGCCTGCCCAAGATCCCGAGAGGAGAATGGAGAAGGGATTGCGGCGTGGCCATCCCCGCTGGGGAGTGATTTCTCGCTTTCTATCTCTCTGTCTGGCGAGCGCATGTACCCTATAGCAAAAAAAAAAAAAACCTCTCCCAAAAAAAAAAAGAAAGAGCCAGCGAGTGGGTGCATGTGCTCATGTGCTCATGTGCTCATGGTGGTTAAGGCACTGGACTCCCACATGGCTGACTGCAGCTCAAGTCTCAGACTCTGTGGCTTACTTTTTTACTTTCCCTCTCTCTCTGTCTTTCTCTGGTGAGTGGAAGTGCCCTACAGCAAATTTTAAAAAACATATATTAAGTAAAATTAAGTAAACTGTTATTTCTTAAAAAGCAATGCATATTAAACAACTGGCTACAAAACATTACCACAGATAGTAACTTCATAATAGAGATTTTAAACATACATACACACATCTTTCTTCATTCTCCCTTTAAAGTCCATTTCAAAGTCTGTACTTATTCTGTTCTTCAGTATCAACAATTCATGCATGGTTCCCTCAACAAGTATTTGTCCCTTCTATATCATCAGTCTCATACAGGGTTGACAAGGCTCATTTAACAGAGTTTATGTACTTTCAAATACTGAACACTTATTTGAGTGAACATTTTGTATAGAAAACACATCATATAAAATATGTGGAAACAGCATATTTATAAATCTCAAGTTCACACTAACAAAATCTTAACTAATTAAAGTAAAAGTTTACATGGTCCTTTTATATTAGTAAGCAGTTCAGCTTCTTCCATACTTAGCTTCTGCCAGTTCTAACAAAATTGTGGGACAGGCAATTGAACAAGAGCATTGATATTGAACATAATAGGGACCAGCAGTTTGCGTAATGGCTATGTCGCTAGACTGCCATGTAGTCGACTGCGGTTCAAGTCCTGGACCCGGTGGCTTAAACTTACACTGGGCATGCATGCGTGTGTGCCCAAGATCCCACGAGGAGAATGGAGGAGAAGGGATTGTGGAGTGGCCATTCCCCCTTGGGGGGGGGTGTGCTTTCTTGCTTTCTGTCTCTCTGTCTCTGTCTTTCTGGCAAGCACACATGCCCTATAGCAAAAACCTATCTAAAAAAAAAAAAAAAGATTGAATATAATAAACCTAACTTCTCAGGCTTGCCCTTCCAATTATAAATCAATAGTGTCATCTTGTAGCATGAAAGACAGCTTGCTAGATAAGTTTCACTAGTTAATTCTGTCCTTCTTTCCAAACTTGAAAACATAATGAAAGGATATAGCTTTTTTGTCCCAACCTTATTTGCCTCTACCTGAATTTGACTAAGTTCATATGTGTTCTCAAGTCCCATACGGAATTCATATACCTGCTAAACCCTTCCATTCTCTCTACCCAACTCCCTCTCCTTGCATCATTAATATCCACTGTGACAGACGTTTTAATGTAGGATGGACTAGAGAAGGTAAAAGTGACCTGTACAGTTATTCTAACGATCATCCTATTATGTGACAAAATTAGAAATCTGTCTATGCAAGAGCCTATCACTCCCAAGATGAGGAAACTGAGCAAAGTGTGAGGGGACAACACTTGGGGGCCAAAGAAGAAACCCTTTCACAAGAATTCTAGGTCTTAAATGGACATCAAAGATAAGTGGACCTGGGGCCAG